AATTTTTTGATAAAAAAAAAAAATAGTTTTTGAAAATATGCCATCTCAAAAAAAATTGGAAAAAATCACAATGGTAGTTCTGAGCATTGCGCAATATTTAAGTATAATGTTATGGGGTGCACTCTACAATAATTTGAGTTATGAATTTTTTTTACACCGAAGTTGAGTAAAATGAGTACATTAGAATTAAAAAAAAAAAAAAAAATTTTGTTTAGAATTTTTTTGAGGATGCAATTTTGTAGCCCATTAAATTTGAGTATAATAAAGTGCAAGTGTTAAGCTACTGCAAAATTGCGTTGATTTTGAATATTGTTTATGCTCACGGCTTCTTGCACATTTTCCTTATCAATGAAAATGCCTAAAACCGTTTTCAAAGAAAATTAAAAAAAAAATTAACGGCTGTTTTGCAATCTCTTAAAACTTCCACTTTATTATACTAAAATTTAATGGGCTATAAAGCTGCATACTCAAAAAAATTCCAAAAAAGTTTAAAAAATTTGTAAATTGGTAATGTACTCATTTTACTCAACTTCGGTGTAAAAAAAAAATTCAGAACTCAAATTATTGTAGAGTGCACTCCATAACATTATACTTAAATATTGCGCAATACTCAGAGCTACCATTGTGATTTTTTCCATTTTTTTTTTTTGAAATGGCATATTTTCAAAAACAATTTTTTTTTATCAACAAATTTGTATGTGGAAAATTTTTCAAGAGAAAAATTAAAAACTATTTTTTTTTCGTAGGGAATTTTGATGTGTGTATGTGTGATTTTATCGATAAAATCGTTTTAATTTCGTATGCATGTTCACTTTGAGCAAATTGTGAGCACTGGTTGGGGAAATCTTCGGTAGATTGGGCAAATCGCTAATTGGGCCCCAATTGGGCCAAAATTAGAGCCCAATTGGAAAAAACTTTTGGCTCTGATCGGGCAACCTCAAAAAATATCCAGCAAGGAAACTTTATCATAATGGGCAACAATTTTTGCGTCCTCAACTGGCACGAAAATCTGCTAGCATCATATAAGTGCATTTTCAGAAAAAAAATTACAACTCGAAAACGACGAATTTTAGCATATTGCTATTCGTACTGAAAATAGTTTATACTATTCCCTAATAGACAAAAAAGTTTGAAAGATAAAAAAGATGTGGCAATTTGAAAAAAAAAAATTTTTTGTTTATAAACAATAATTAATTATTAATAAACAATTACTGATTTTTAGTTCACTAGATCGATTCAGTAGATCAATATCGGCAATTAAAAAAAAAATCGTTAAAATCCTTGCTTTTTTGCGGCAGTTATAAGCGATTTCATCAAAAGATTTTTGAAAAAATATCCTCTGTACCAGGGATGAAAAGGTAGGTACAATTGTACCTTTTTCTGGCGTTTGCCTTAAAGGTGCATTAGGTACAATCACTTGATTTTAGGTACAATCATCTTTTCATCAGATACAGTTTTAGTGTTTTCTTTTACCGTGTTAATATATGGACCCCTTTTGCGCAAAATTATCGTATGTGCCACTTTTTTCGAAATTGACTTTTTGGTACAAACTTGTTATACAATCCACACCGCATCACTTGATAAAATATTGTGGTTAAAATCCCTATAGTTACGCCAAAAATTTACTGTATATTTTATTGTATGTTACAGTGATTATTTGAAGGCGAAATTATCGTATATGCCATACAAAAGTATTTTGAACACAAATAGTAAAAAAAATTAAATAAAAAATTCAAAAAAATGTTTAAAGTAAAAAAACGCTCTCCTGTAAAATTTGGTTTCTGGCATATACGATACATTTGCGCAAAGTGGTCGACATTTACTTGTAGGCATGGGAGAAGCTTAACTTTCATTTGGAACAATAAACAATCCCAAAGAAAAGTGGTCACAAAGAAAAAAAAAGTAACGAATCATTTGTCTTTTGCCCCAATATTTTTCAGTAGTCAAAATTAGACTAAAGTAAAACTTCTCCGATTCCTATTAGACTATAGTCTATAGATATAAGCTCAGTTACATAAAAAAAAATCCTAATCAAGTTTACAGTGCATCTTTTGTATTCATATTTTACATAAAATTAATAAAAAAATCTACAAACGAATGATGTAACTTTTTTTAGGTACAATTTATCTCATTTAGATGCATTTATTTTATGATATTAGATACAATCTGAAATTTGAATTTTTCATCCCTGCTCTGTACCAATAATAATGCGATAGGAAAGCGAAACATACAACTTTTTAATATTTATTGAGAGCGTCATGTTACAGAAGTGTAAAGCGATACCAAGGCGCATCAATACAAGGTGGGGTTGATTGAACAACTGGTTGGATTAAAGTTTCTACACTAGTACAGGAGAATGTCATCCAATACGAAATGGCGTAACTTTAGGATGTCAACAAAACGAATGGGCTAAAATTATATTATATTTTCTTTCGTTTTGACATCCTGATGTACCAAAAAAGCAATAAAAAAGTACACGGGATTTTTACTTATATGCAATTGCCACCACCATTTGAATGCGCCTTTGGCGTTACTTTTTATCGGCGACTGACGGCATATTTTACAGAAAAATTCTGACAATTATGTCTGTAATTATAATAATAACCTGTAAACTGAATTTCAGGTTTTATGAAATACTTCCACGATGCAGAGTTTTTTAACTTCAAGGCATTACTGATGCGCTCTGTTGCCAGATCTTTATGACTGACTAATGTAATACAAATTTTTAATCAATAAGCTATTCGCAATTCTATTTCCAGAAGTTTTTAAGTAGTTGCAATGAATAGAGTTTCTATACAAAATTAAATAACGGTAGACTATTTATCTTCTACCACAGATGTGACATAATATCAAAAATATGTACATATTTATTACAAAAGGCTTGCAAAGCCTTGTCGCTCGCCTCTCGGACTATAATTTTATTTCGTTTAAACGGCATTTTAATTGGGTTCTATTTATGCTAGCAGGTTTTTATTTTATTCCCCGCCCCCCGCCCATTCCTATATGGGTAACAGCAATATTTAGGTAGCTTGCCAATGCGATTCTTATAACATAAATCTGTGGTCATAAGCAATAATTGCCTAAGTCGAAAAACCTGAATTCGAGAAAAAGCGCTTTAAAGATTTGGGTTGTAATGTTAACCCATATATGTAATACTTCTATATTGGCAGTAAGCTAACTTCTCAATGTGTAAGCATTCCGAAATCAAAGCGAGACAGTCTAGTACCGTTTTTGTCAATGTATTGTGTACTTGAGTGCCGTTTTTGTATATGTGTTGTGTACATGTTTATTTATAAACGTATGTGTTCATTTTCTTTCGTACGTGTTTATTGATACATCTGTACTGTAGTGTTTTCGGACGGTACTCTAGCTCTTACTGCCAATATAGGAGTATTACATATATGTGTTAACCTTATGGGGAAACCAAAATACTTTCATTTATAACTTTTTAAATAGAATAGGTAACGAGATGGGTGTTTCACGTAGACATGGAATAATAGTTGCAGAAAACGACAGCATATATAAGTCAATTCTTTCTTAAGTCGACTTAGGCGGTTATTGCTTACGACCACAGAAATATGCATGTGTGGTCACAAATTTGTGAGCAGCTTTGGTATTACTTTATACCTTTTTAGCAATGAACAGGTAAGAAATTAAGGTACGGTCAATTACTGCTGCCAAATTTTATATTTCTCACATTTCAAGAGAATACGTTCACTCTCATTCTCTCACAAATCCTTAAACACAAAGCGCAAAAAACTAGTAAAATAGCCCAAGTACGGGCGAAGCCGAACATTAAATACCCAGCGCACGTATTAGATATAGTTTTTTTCACCTTTCCGAAAACTGCCGTTACATGGTAAGTAGGGGTTGTTGTACCGCTAATTAAGACATTTTTGGTAGTATGTTCAGTTAGATTTAATGAGATAAGGTTATACATTTATAAGTGGGTTGTACCAAGTCCCTTTTCCAAAATTCCATAATAATATTAATTTTTTAGGGATTGTTGTGAGTATCAACTTTAAGTAAATTAGCGTCCTTAAATTTCAAGATATCGAAGATTCAGCATTTCTGAAATTTACCGTTATATGAAAAGTGGGAGTAACTTTAATTCGATTTCAAATATTTCCAACGTTTTGCCTTTAAGTGGCAAGTACAATGATTGTACCGAGTTTGGTACAAATTGATGGAAGGTTACATATGTGGTCATAAGTGGGCGTTGCTATGCCTATTTTCCAAACATCTTTTATGCAGATATTTTTTGCTAAAGAATAATTGCAAACATCAATTTTGAATAACTTAGCTTCAGTAGTTACTGATTTATCGAAGATTTCATATTTCCCTAAATAAATTTTTAAATTTTCAGCCGTTTGGTATGTTTACTAAGACCAACAACTGTGCCAAGTTGGGGAGAAATCGGTAAAGCGGTTACCGACATATACATATGGAGTCATAAGTGGGCGGGGCTACGCCCATTTTCCGAAAATGTATAATGTTCTTTGTTTTGCCCTAAAGATCATTGTAATCTGTCCTGGCGGAAAAGAAGCACACGTACCAAGTTTCGTTAAGATATATAAATTTTTTCTCGAGTTATCGTGTGTACAGCCAGACGGACGGACAGACAGGCACGGCTTAATCGATTTCTTTTTTAATTATGAGCCTTTATGTATACAAACAAAGTTATAATAGATACCCTTGTGCACTAGTGCGCTCTGGTATAACAAAACAACATATGTACATATGTAGATACACATATTCATGTATGCAGTCAAAAGAATATAAAAACTGAAAACTCACCTCAAGTTAACACCAGTACTTACACTTACATATTTTACAAAGAAATACATTAATATGTATGTATGTAAATAGTACGAGTCTACCTGTATCTATTCTGTGGTATTATTAAAACAAGTATTGAGATGTGGTTCAAGACAACGAACGAAGGCAAAAAGACGGAGAGCAAAATACCACGTCGGTACTTTGGATATGATCGTTTTAGGTTAGATACACCAATCGTGAGTATACTATCGTCAAGTGAGCAACGTTGATGCAATGACCGGATTTTTTGCCTTTTCGTTTAGTTGTCGGATTTTTGCGTTGTATTCGAACATACACAAACTTATACAGATAACTTGCGAACATCAGGTCATTCCATTGCGATCTAATCCATTAAGTTGCGCATTTTTGTATATGCGTGTGAAATGAAAGTGGGATCATTGAATATGTTACGAATCGACATATTTTCACTTCCCGTCTTACGGTCAACCGGTCAAAAGGAGCTGGCGATTTTTACTTGCATAGACACAACTCCAAATGCAAATTATTCGTGAAAATAAGCATACCACCGCATCCATATGCCTACATACATACATTCATAGCGGTTTATTAGTATCGACTTGTAAAAATTCTCATGTATTTGTGAAAATGAGCAAATTCTCGAACGGCGCCATTTTTTTTCGCCACAAAAATTTAAATTCCAGCCATCACACAATATCATGTAACAGTGCAGTGGAACAGCAAAATCGGAAAAGTGAATACGTACTGTAATTTCGGTAGGCGAAAGACGTTTTACTGAAAGGAGTTTTATAGCTTAACAAGAAAAAATATCTGAATAATACTTATTTTACGTATTTAAAAAGTTAAACAAACAACAAGGGATAAATGTATAATTAAAAATAATATGTGTGCATGTGCATGATAACCAACGTTTTTATATGTATACAAGTACCATCGCATATACATACGTATACATATGTAAATATATTGTGGAATGTATAAGTTTTTACATGAGAAGGAAAATAAAACCAAATATCTTAGGCAATCGCGAATGCAGTTGGAATGCAAAGAGATACCTAATTTAACTTTTGTATGTACATATGTATGCTTATATGTAAATACAATTAAAGTGTGTTCATGTATAAACGGTCAGGGTGGTGAAAATGTAAAGAAACGAATTGAATTAAGAACCACTTCAAGACCACCAAAACCAGAAAATCAACTTTGTTAACGTCTTTGTATGTATGACAAAACTTTACGTATACAATTCGCTTTATGTTTGAGTATCTGCATAAATTTTGCTGACACTTGTCTCTGTCTTACACACATTCATATAAGATATTTCTTTTTACACTTTATTTCTGTCAACGAGTGTCACCTAAAACTAAGGTTTATATGTAGTTCCACTAGGTTTGAATGCGCCTTTCATTATCTACATTTTATCGTAGTAAAAAGCTTACTAATCGTTAAAAATGAGTGATTCTACCCCAATTTGCCGATGTCGCGTACTTTATTTGGGTAGTGCCGTTCCGCGGCAAAGTAAGGATGGGCTACAAGGAATTCAAGAGCCCTTGAGAACTCTTTATCCTTCCGAAGGTGCGGTTGGTGCTAAAGGTATAGACTCATGGCTAAGTGTTTGGTCAAATGGAGTTCTACTTGAAAACGTTGATGAAAATTTAAAACAAATCACCCGATTTTTTCCTATTGAATCTCTGCACTACTGCGCGGCTGTACGACAAGTTTTAATACCAGAACGGGGAAATTCTAAGCCAGAACCAAAATTCTTACCACTTGACTCTCCATTCGCTCGAATGCCCCGCGTCCAACACCCACCAATATTTGCCGCTATTCTACGACGAACAACCGGCATCAAAGTCCTTGAATGTCACGTGTTTATTTGTAAACGAGAAGCTGCCGCGAATGCTCTAGTCAGATGTTGTTTTCATGCTTACGCCGATAATTCGTATGCCCGCCAATTGGAGTCTGGTAGTTCTGGGGGTGGTGTTGGCAGTAGTGTCTATGGAACGCTCAAAAGTGTCGTTGGAAGCAAATCGAATGGAGACTTAACACGTATCGAGATAACAAATGGTAATCATCACCACAAAGGCCCGTCTTCAAGCCAAGATGCATGGTGTTCTCGAGCTAGCAGTACAACCACCCTAAACAGTGTTGGGAGGCAGTCCAATGGACATACGTTCAATGGAACGAGTGACATTAGCTTGAATGGTGGAGGAAGCAATGGAAGTGCCGCTGAAGGTTACACATCTGTGAAAAATTGTAAGTAAAAAGTGTTTTAAACACACTTTAGATCTTCCCTAGTTTAAATAAATTTCGATTCGATCAGAGTACAGAGCAATTGTAGTTTATGAAGGGATTTGTGTATGTATATTAAACCACGTAAAAAATAATAAAAATCCAGCAATGCGACCGCAATCTGACTTAGAGTTTAGAAATGATCCTCCAGGAATATCCCCTCATACGACATTTGTAAGAGGTCGCGCATCGAGGGTTTATTTTTCCCATATGATTTACACGTAAGAAAATACGTTACTACATTGATTACATGTCATTTAAATATTATGCATGCCCAGATTAAATTCCAAAAAAAAATTTGGTAATTACTAGATTTGACTCAAACAGGGCAAGCGACTAAAAAGGATAATCTCAGAATTTAAAGAATCTGAGAATACATAATACCTAAACGGCATATAATCAACGTACTCTTATAGTTTCGAGCGTTTTGAAATTACTATGGGAAAAATTAACACTCGATGCGCGACCTCCTTGAATGATCGTAACTTAAGTCTGTGTTATAATGCGGTCGCATTGCAGGATATTTATTTTTTTGACGTGGTTTAATGCCGGTTTTCCCAAAGTGGGTTCCGCGAGCGTATGCCTGGTACCGCTAGTGGCTGGAGTATACTAGTGGTGCGGACAAGGTCTTTAAACTTTCCATACACAACGCAAGCGGTTCGATCAAACTTCAACATGACTGCCAGAAAATAACAAAATTTTGATTTTTATTAAAATTAATTTCAGCGGTTCATCAAAACTCATACACAACGCAAATGGCTTGCAGAAAAGGGATATTTCGCTTGGTTTTTCAAGCCGCTTGTGTGTTGTATTTCGCTATTAAGCGTAGTTATCCAGTACGTTTTTTTTAACGAAAAATTTAATCAGAAAATGTTCAGAAAAATAGCTGAAAACTTACCCTTTTCACAACAATTTTCGATATATTTGTAGACCTAATCCACGTTCCACCCAGTTTTCTTCCCGTTTTCGGATTAATTTTCGGATTTTTTTGCTGGCTGGGCTGTTCTGTTAACAAGCGCAGCAGCTTCGCGCACGTGTATACGTTACTTATTCTTTGGAACTGCACAATCACACTGTGAAAAAGCGAATCAACACGATTTTAGAGGCAGTCGAGATTGAACTTTAAAAAAAAAACTTGGGAATTTTTTAGTTTGCAACTTGACGTCTCGGGACTTAATGTTCTTCTCGTGTTAGTGAGGTACCCATTCTATTAGGGGAGTCCACGATGCTAAATCGGGATTTAATCGAGCGTCATTTTGACCTATTGGATTTTGAAGATTATATGATGGGAAGAAAAAAAGGTCATGTGATGTTTTTCTTCTCAGCGGCGGGTGGACGATTTACAAGCTTCCAAGAATGTAAAAAAAACAGTTACATGGATTTACTCGATCGCATCAGATATTGACGGTGAATGAATCAAACGTGTTTCTGATGACGGAAATATACTATTCTGCCGGTTTGCATGGTAGGGTTGGGCGTACGGAAGGGTCAAAAATGGGTGACAAAAAAAATTTACTCGAGCGCGTCAGATATTCACAAGGGATGTTAAATGGGCCCAAATGAACCTCCCATTCAATAATCTGACGATTCAGATGTGACGCAAGCTCGTGTCGTCTTCTCGAAGATGCATAAAAAATCGCCATTTGGATTTACTCGAGCGCGTCAGTTTTTCATACAGAAGGTTCATCTCGATGCCCTGGTCGTCCTGTTCCAAAATCTGACGATTATCTGGAGAGGTTTTCTTAATCTGACGGTTTAAAAAAATCATTTCGTTTCTGAGATGCACAGTCAACCAAACATATATTATTGTAAACACTTATTATTTTATCCGTGCAGCTATCATCATGCAGCAAGTCCGGTTCGACTTGGTCGTCAATTTCTCCTAAATTTTTCCCGTCTGTAACAATAAGTAATTTACAATATTTTTTACATATTAAGTAAAAAAGTGCGTTATTATAGAATTTGCAAGGTATTATATCTGCGTCCCCTAGAATAGTCCAACAAGTTTCTTGAAAAGAATTTGATCCACAAAACACAAAAACCATTTCCACTAATCGTGAATTACAAAATGTATACCTTGTTTATACCTACGCAAGAACCGCATTGATAAAAAACCAATTTGACTTAAAACGTATTTCTTTCAAGCGCTTATGCCTGTGTCTTTACAGCGCACTCGCTGAAACCGTATTCAAATGTATGCACAATTTGTTGTTTTATTTCGATATTTCTTTAATAATTGATTTGCACGATTGACTGAAATGGAAATGAACAATAATTCAAATCTATTTTAATAATAATTCAAATTTAAAACGGGCTGTATAAAGAAAACCAACCTATTTTCACTTCGCGTCGAATGAGTGATGTGTTTATACCTGTTTTCTAACTGATTTGAGATATAAAAACCCGATTTGAAATCAAGTTCGAGTCAATACACTTTTGAAATCCTAAACTTTTGAAGTTCAGAGCGAACTAGGTCAAAGCGATTTATGTGTCGGTATAAACAAGGTATTAGTTAGTAAAATTTCGAAGGTTATATTTCATGTAACACCACGAGTGCTTTGATCGCCCATGATTCCGTGATAATATACTAAGGTACTAAAAAAAGAGTGAGCGAGAAGGGAGCGGATTCTAACATTTTTTATATATAAGAAAACTTAAGGATGCCGAATTCAAAATTATCTGAAAAATTTGTGTTTTTCTTACATACAAATTCTTATGTCTAGTGATTTTAGCTAAGAAATGAGTAAAATTCACATACATAAAATAAAAAGTATTTTTTAATTGATACATCATGTGCTACTAATTTTTCTTAATATAATCTTAATCTATTACTCCTTCGATTTACGATTATTTCAATCCGAATTCAAACTATTCTGAAACTGGGATTAAAGTAATCGTAATCGTAGACGCACTTAGTTATACATGTAGTTTTATCGCCCAGCTCAAATTTAGATAAAGGTTTTGATTCGCAAATGCACATACTTATACACATATACAGCGGAGCAAAACACGAGCCTTTAGCGAGAGTTTTTTTTGGAATAATTCTCACATTTTACCCGCAACTGGTATAATTTGCGAGCATTTGGTCCGCTGGGTATATCTTCTTCTTCTTTTTTGGCGCTGTAACCGCCTTAGCGATTTTGGCCGAGCTCAGCAAAGCACGCCAGTCGTTTCTCCTCTGTGCCAACTGACGCCAATGGGAAATACCAAGTGAAGCCAAGTCCTTCTCCTCTGTGCCAACTGACGCCAATTGGAAATGCCAAGTGAAGCCAAGTCCTTCTCCACCTGATCTTTCCATCGCAGTGGGGGCCTCCCTCTTCCTCTGCTACCACCAGCGGGCTCCGAGTTGAATACTTTCAGAGCTGGAGCGTCGGCCATGTCATTGTAAAGCTCATACAGCTCATCGTTCCATCGTCCGCGCGTGAAGGCCGGTAAATCTTCCGCAAAATCTTTCTCTCAAATACTCCAAGAGCCGCCTCATCGGATGTTGTCATTGTCCATGCTTCTGCGCCATACACCAGCACGGGCATGATGTGTGACTTATAGAGCGTGGTTTTCGTACGTCTAGAGAGGACTTTACTCCTGAATTGCCTACTCAGTCCAAAGTAGCACTTGTTGGCAAGAGTGATTCTGCGTAGGATTTCAATGCTGAGATTATTACCGCTGTTAATGATGGTTCCCAAGTAAACGAAGTTCTCTACTTTCTCAAAATTGTAACTGTCAACAGTGACGTGGGTGCCAAGGCGCGAATGTGCTGACTGTTTCTTTGATGACAGGAGATACTTCGTCTTGTCCTGGTTTACCACCAGACCCATTAGCTTTGCTTCCCTATCCAACTTGGAAAAGGTAGAACAGACTTCGCGGTTTTTGTTACCGATGATGTCGATGTCATCGGCATAAGTCAGCAATTGCACGCTATTGTAGTAAATTTTTCCTGAGTGGTTCAGTTCTGCAGCTATTATTATATCTCCAACATCAGATTAAAGAAGCCACATGAAAGGGAGTCGCCCTGTCTGAAACCCCGTTTTGTGGCGAACGGCCCGGAGAGGTCTTTCCCAATTCTGACGGAGCTGGTGGTATTGCTCAACGTCATTTTACACAGCCGTATGAGTTTTGAGGGGATGCCAAATTCAGAAATAGCGGCGTACTTCTATTAGTGCTGTCAAAAGCGGCTTTAAAGTTGACAAATAGGTGGTGAGTGTCGATCCTTTTCTCGCGGGTCTTTTCCAAGATTTCGCGTATTACGAATACCTGGTCTATGGTGGATTTTTCAGGTCTAAAGCCATACTGATAAGACGCAATCAGTTCATTGACGGTGGTCTTTCACACAATACGCTCGACAAGACCTTGTAACCTATGCTTAGAAGGCTGATCCCGCGGTAGTTGGCGCGAATGGCACGTTCACCTTTCTTGTGGATTGGCAGAGCAGATTTAAATTCCAGTCGTCGGGCATGCGTTCATCTGACCATATTCTGCACAAGAGTTGATGCATGCACCTTATAAACTCCTCGTCGCCGTACTTGAATAGCTCAGCTGGCAGGCTGTTAGCTCCAGCAGGTTTGTTGTTTTTCAGCCGCCTTATTGCAATTCGTACCTCGTCTTAGTCAGGCGGCTCGGGTTCTTCTTCTCCACAACTTTCCGTGCTGCTACCAATTGGTAGGGCGGAAATGTGTTCCCTCCATAATTTAAGTACGCTGTGGACATCAGTTACTAGGTCGCCATTATTGTTCTTACAGGAGTATGCCCCGGTCTTGAAACCTTCCGTAAGTCACCTAACTCTCTGGTAAAATGTTCGAGCATTCATCCTGTCGGCCAGCATTTCAAGCTCTTCGCACTCACGTATTTCGGCCTCTCTCTTCTTATTGCGGCAAATACGTCTCGCCTTCCTCTTCAGATACTTATAGCGGTCCCACATAGCGCGCGTTGCGCCCGATCGCAGCGTGGCCCTGTAGGCGGCATCTTTT